AGTTCCTGGAGAAGCCTCCATTTCAATAACAATATGTGGCCATTTGCTCTTCTTAAGAACAGTCTGTGTCATTTTCGGGGGTGTAAGTTTCTTGTGCACAGTGAGGTTCTTGTTATTTACTTAGCTAGAATGTCTGCCCCTCCAGAGCTCACCCTCATTTGATTTGTCTTGCATGAGCTGAAAGTTACTTTATCACTCGCATGTTGCTCTCTTCAATATTCTGAGAAGAAACAAATCTGTCTGTGGAAAAAAACAAGTACTGCATGGCTTCATTGAGGTAGAAATTGTCAGTTGTGTTAAATTAAACATAATTATCTTCATGCATCAATATACTTTTCTGTTTGTTAATAGTTTGTTAATAGTTTGTCATTTAGGCTTAAATGTTTTAAAGTTGCAGTCCATGTTGAATTTCTGCTCTGGAGGCTACTTAAGTACATCTTTGTAGTGGTAAAGGGAAAGTGTAGACAGAAGGAGCCACAATAATTTTCATCCATCCGTGTGGAGATTGCCTGCATATACAGGAAGAAATATAGGACTCTTGGGCTTGCTTTAGTCATTGTGAGGAGAAGGACCTCTTTTCTGCCCCTGGGGCTCTGTGAGCTGTTTTATTCAATGTGTTTGTACATTAACAGCCAGGCTGTTAATGTACAAACACATTAACAAACACATCAGGCTTCTACTACCCACTTTTTGTTCGCACCTTCACAAGTCAGTAAAAAATTCTGTTTGACAGCTGATGTCACCCTTTCCTGTCATTATAGCCTCTGCCTGAGGTGGGTGAGATATATTGTTAGGCCGTGTGAGAACCCATACTAAACCACCTGTCTCTTCTTGGGCAAACAGAAATGCATACATCAGCTTCTTCCAGTGCAGTGAAGGAGGACAGACACTTGCTCACAGTGCTTTATACAATGGTTTTGAGGTAGTGCTCAAGCTCCTTAGATAATGTAAACTGCTCTCTGCACATGCTAACATTGTTCCTTCTGTTATATCAGACCCTGCACTCCTGACATTAATACCTTTGGATTGTTTACTCCTGAACAAATATATTTGCAGAAATTTTCTTTTCTCATTCTAGATTTGGTGTGACTTTTGTTTGTTTATTTTCTTTTTTACATTAACCGTCCTTATGTGTTTTTGGTTTTTTTACTGTAGCTGTTCTTTGCATGCTATTTATTGATACTTTTAGATTTTTTTTTATATGTTAATCAACTTTGTTCATTTGCACAGGTCTTTTTGCATCACTGCAGCACAATATAGTGTTTTAGTGTCACTTTCACTAGCTTGATATTGGCAATATCAAACCTAGAAAATTGTGGGCATGGTCTGTCCAAGCCAGGTGTGGAGGACATCAGTGACATGAGCATATTGTGCTTTCTGACTACAGATATGCATTGTAAGGGTCCTCCAATGGCTTGCTGAAGTCGGAAAAGGCATAACTAATGTAGGATTACCATATGAAACCAGTGACTTGACCTAGGGACTGTGTAGCTTGAAGCCAACATTAGTATCTATTTCAAGAGCAGAAGTCCTTTTCCATGTATTTCCAAAAATTTGACATAGTCAAAGCCACAGTTACCTTGATGGTGTAAGAAATGATAAATTGACACTCTCAATTGTCAATTTTCCATTTTCTGCTAATATTTGGTCATCCATTTTGTCTCTGCATATATTCATATGCCTCCCATATCTTCACTAATCTCTGTAATTTACTGATATTAACAAACTGTGCAATCTCAGTATTCTTATTTCATTCATAGTCAAAAGCAGTATAGGAACTTGTGTCGATCCTCCCACAGAATGGCTCATTATTAGTCACTATCTATTCTGGCTTATTGTCATTTCCACTTTTAGTTTAGTTTCCATTTTTTAGTTTATTTTTAATCAGTGACAGAATTACCTTTTATATATTACCCATGGGTCTCTAAGTTTAATGGGATTTATATCTCAAAAGAAGACAACCACATTATCAGTAAAATTCTCATCTCTGCAGTTAAAATAATGTTTCCTTTCTTATTTCCCAGTTTCAAATAATACTCCTTTTGACTCCCCTAGCATGTACTGAATACTAAAAAGCACTTATTAAACACGAAACACTCTGAAATGAAGAATTTTATTTTTCTCTGGTCTTGGTTGTTTTTTTCTTCAGTTTCTTGATCTCCTTTCTCTACTCAAGCCCCAGCCTGAAAGCAGAAGTAGAATATAATGATTGCTGTCCATCTTTATTTGTTTAAGCCTAGTATGAGAAATTCATTACTTCAATGGAAGATCAATTCTGTGATGTCAGAAAAAATAGTCAAGCAATTCTTGTCTTTGTTTGTTACTCATGTATATGTGATTCTTGGTATGCATCATACAAAGATGTTTAAAAGGAAAATTCTTATGTATTTTTTTTAATTGGAAAAGATACCGCATATATGTAGGTTTATGTGATGAAAGAACTGGTTCTGGGTGTGGTTTTCTTTTTCTCCCCTGATTAAGTATAATAAATATTAAAAAAAAATTAGGGTTTTTTTTGTTGTTGTTTTTGTTTTAATTTATTTATTATTTCTTTCCACTAGTTCAGTTGCCCAGGCATTCAGTGCTATGATGTTTCTGTCAACCAGTCACTTGCCACCTTCTAGTTCAGCTGTTCCTCACAGCTATAGAGGCTTTTCAGACACAGTGTTGAATTCTTTATTTTCTTCTGTAAACTCTAATTAGTAATCAGGATTGTGATGAGTAGGCTATATGAGATAGTAACTGCCTTGGTTAAAGATTTATGCAACAGCACATGGGTACAATTTCAGTAAACAAGTGAATGATTGAGAATACCACATAAAACCTGAACTGCTGCTAAGAAGAAATGAATTGGCAAAAAAAAAAAAAAAAAGCTAAAAGCATAGTTATGAAATTGGTGAATGATGTGTCACATTCATTGCTATAGTGTGCTAATGTTTGCTCCATTTGATATCCCAGATATTAAAAGCAGCACTTAAAAGTGTCCTTGCCTGGGCTAACAGAAAGCTAAGTAGAGGCTTTTTTCAAAAATTTTTTAAAGGTTTACTGCATTTTTGGAGGTTGTATTTGTTAGTCTATTATGTGTTTTTATGTATTATTCTGTTCCTTTTCAAAAGTGTTTTGAAAAAGTTACTTGTGTGCAAGCTGAGAAATGACGGATATTTAATAGCATTCAAATAAGACATTACCCTTTGTGTTTCAAATTCTGCTTTGGAAGAGGCACATAAAATACTTTCAGAAACAAACAATTTTTTTTATGTAACTTAATTTTGTAAAATTAAAGTTCACAATATTCTGAAAACATATTGTTCCTGAGAGAGAAACATTTCACCACTGCTCTTAGAGTAGTAATTCACAGTGACAAAGGCAGCCAGTATATTTTGTTTGTTTAAAACTATACATTCTGGGGGAGGACGGAAAAGCACAAAACACATTTTAAGTGCCTTGAAGTGTCTGCTGTACACAAGAGACCCAGAAACCAAAATGCATCTCTGAAGAGTCATCAGAGTCTTTTTTCTTTGATAGTTCTTATCCAGAGTAGACCTTATAACCATGTACATCTACCCTTTTTTTGAGTATTTAAAGTAATTAGAAAACAAAGACAAAAGATTTCATATTCAGAACTGATTGGACTGTATGATTTTAGATGTAAATATTTCAGACGTCCATTCTTAGATCCTCGTGTTCTTAGAGGATCCATTTTCCAGAAAATAAATGACCTTAATATGATCTGTAACTGAGCACACCAAAATGAAAGTACCCAAGACATGAAAATGGAAGGGTTAAACTTCAAAGCACAGTTCATGTTCTCAATTTCCAATTCCATCTTTCTCTCTGTGCTCCCACCTTACTTATCATCTGATGAAATTCCTTTGGTGATGTCATGCTCAGGGAACAAGTCTCACTTATAAAAGGATTTTCTTTATTTTTCATAATTTAGCTGAACCAACACAAAACTGAATACTGTAAAGCAACAAAAATGATGTAACATCTTTCATTTTTTCTGTGTTTACTAAATAAGGCTACGAAGCTCCTTTTAAAATAAATCAAAACAGAGAGTTGGTAGAGTGAGGGATCTGGCTCTTGAGGTCTACATGTACAGTAAATGTATTTACCATCATTTATTGCATGACATTTTAAACCTGACATTGGTCATTCATAGTGCAGTCAGTCCATAACACTTTACAAGTGACTGGGCTTTAATTGCTACTTTGATACTGGTCAAAATCCTATGATTAAATAAGAATTTTGTATATATTTCTTTTACTTGAAGACAAAATGATCCATAGTTTGTGTTTTCCTGCAACCTCTGCATTATATAAGCCTCAGTGTTTGAGTAGGCTTTAAAAAAATTCTTTCATCAACTTTTAATTTTTGTACCTTTCATCTATGGTCACTTGAATAATCTCTATATACTTTTCTTTAGTAGAATAGAACTAGCATAACACTAAAAGTTAATTGGAGTATTAGGTAGTATACTTGAAACCATAATACATTTGCCAGGAAGAAATTAAGCTCCCTTGTTGATTGTATCATACCAATATGTACCAAAATTATATGCCAAAAGGTACAGTAAAAGGAACAAGGTTTTGTTTCTGTTTTATCATAATTTCTCCCTTGTCTATGCTGTCTTTTCTAAATTTTCACTAACCAATAATGCTGAAAAGGTGGGCTTTTTTAACAATGAGGTAAAACACTGAAAATGGGATCAAGGAACAGGCTTCAAACTGACCCTTACATAAAAGTAGGGAAGAGAAGGAAGGAAGGAAGGAAGGAAGGAAGGAAGGAAGGAAGGAAGGAAGGAAGGAAGGAAGG